CATAATGCACTTCTTTCTATTTTATTTTATTTTATTGGGAGATCATAATTAATTTCTTTTCCAGTAAGATATCATAATGAAATTCATTAATGAACATCCATTGGTCTATGCCCATAATATACTATCGTATTTGACATGGGTGCATATATGATTAAAAATCACCACGTCGCATGGATAACATGTTAGATTACCATATATCTTTTTATTAAAAGTCACACTTTATACACGTAACATGTTTAGATTGGTAACATGCTGTATCATTCCATGTTACCCTTACATTTTTTTTTTTATCTCTAATTTTACATGGATCATATAGTGTGAGGGCTACCCTATGTTACTCTTATTTTTTGTTCAACCAACATGATTGATAAAACACTACCATCGCCTTGTACCTACCACCATCCCCACACCATCGTCAACCACCCCCATTGTATAATATGGATAATACATTATGCTATCCATCTAAAATTGCTCTACCACCATTAAAAAACTCGAGTAACAACACATTATATTACTTGTTTGAATCCATTCACATCACCGTCTGCTACCCCCTCCACATAACATGAATAACACGTTATGCTATCCAACTGAAACCACTCCACTTTCATTATAAAACTCGAGTAATACATTATATTGTTTGAAATCATCACCCTACCGCCGCCTGCAACAATCACAAAATATAGATAACATATATATTACTTGTCTGAAAACTAAAAGGGGGTTCAAATTCGACGCAATCCACAACCATAATCATCAACATCATAGCAAGGGTCAAATCTACCACACCATCTACAACCATAACCATAACCATCCCGCCGCAACCGTCTCCTCCCCCCTACCACCACCAACTCATCCCACTACCTACTAAAAATTTGTACGTGCAAAACACACACATATCAATATTCATGCATATAGAAGCCAAATATTACTCAAAAAGAATGATCACAATAGAAAGATTGAACAAAGAACTAGATATTAATTTGTTTTGTGTTTGGAATTTGAAGTACATAAATACAACAGGAAGAGGTATTTTTTAGAAAGTGCTATTTAGAGCTAGGGTGAAAATTGAGAAATTAAAAAAGAGATACATTTTAACCTCCCCCCCTTTTTTTTATGAGAAAAAGAGGTATATAGTGTAATTCAGTGTTATTAAAATCGACCCCACAAACCTGTGGCCCAGACCCTATTCCGGGCCAGACAATCTCATATTATGTAACTAAGAAATTACACAAATCCAGGTGTTTAAAGATTGATTTTCAAAAAATCAGGTAATAATTTTATATTTTAATTAATATAAAACATAATATTGTTAACCTTAATTTCATACGACAAATTCATAAATGAGGAAATTACACAAATCGAGGTGTTTAAATATTGATTTTCAAAAATCAGGTTTAAAGTTTAATTATTCAAAAATCAGGTAATAATTGTATATTTTAATTAATATAATAATATTATTAAACATAATATTAATAACCATAATTTTATCAATTCCTTACTTCCTCCCTCTCGTCTCCTCCCTTCCCCCTCGTCTTTCTCTCCTTCCCCTCTCCATCGTCTCTCTCCCTATGAGTCATTCACAGCGTCGCGACACTGCTGTGAATGGCAGCGTGCAAGGCTGCCGTTCACAGCAGCGTCGCAACGAGTGGTGGACGTGTGTGCAGTGGCAGAGTGGCAAAGTAGAGTTGTGGTGATGGTGTTGCGTCGGGGTGTATTAGTGGTGTTGATACTGGTTGTAGTGGTGTTCGACTAGTTGTGGTGCAGATATGGTGGGTTTAGATGTGTTGATGGTGGCGGTGATAGTGTGCGATGTGGTGGCGGTGGTATTGGCGGCACTGTCGATGTGTGTTGGTTGACCAGTTGTGGAGCTGATGTGGTGTGTAGTGGGTTGATAGGTTCAGATCTTGTTTGATGGTGGTGGTGATGTTGTGGTTGTGGTGTTGTGTTGTTATTGGTTGTGGCAGTGGCGACGAGATGAAGAGTGTTTATGACAACCATTTGGTTGATTTGTGACCAAGTATTGGTGGTTGATCAGGATCAAGGTTGGTTTTTTAGTGTATGTGACCAACTATTTGGTTCTCTGTGACCAATCGTTAAACCGTAATTTTAAAATTTGATAATTTGTGACAAAAATTTTGAATATATGTGACCGATAGATAAACTGTGACCTATAAATTTTTTGATCCGTGACCAACGAAATAAATTGTGACCTATAAAAAATTTCATTTGTGATATCGAAATAATCTGTGACCAATTAATTTGATAATATGTGATCAATAAAAGTTGTGACCTATAATTATGTATCTGTGACCATTAATCATATATTATTATATTTAACTAGTAAAAATAATTTTACTTAGGCCCTGTTTGGGAGGGATTAGATTTTTCTAGAGTAAATCAATTCTCATTTTCAACCGCACATTCTTCAATAAAATAATATTTTACATCACATCAATAATTTTTTTCTTCATTTTCAACCACACATTTCCCATCATATTACTATTCAAAATCAATTCTTCCCCCAAAAATCTTTCCCAACCAATCTCTTAAGGAATCTAACTTTTTTAATTCAAGAGGGTAAATAACTAAACATATTAACACGGAAATTTTATTTTTTTTTTGTCCCACCACTTCATATATGCATATTTAGCCATTGTTTGAGCCACATTAAAATTTTCATTCTCAATCTTCTACTCATTTTCAACCACGCATTTTTCAATAAAATAATATTTTCCATCACACCAATAATTTTTCCTTCTTTTTCAACCACATATTCCCTATCAA